AACCACGGTTACTACGACCGCCGCCGAGGTTGCTGCTACCGTTGTGACAACAACTCAACATCAGGTCGGTCAGATGGAAGAGGCAGGCGGGTTTGTTTTTGACCTGTTTCAGAAGTTGGTCAGCTTCAGCAAACACAGTACCGTCTTAGAATGCGTTGTGAAGTTAGGAAATAGCGACAAGACTGAACAACACTTAACTTTAAACGCTGATAGAAGCACGCTTAACCTTGTGACAATGCAAGTAAGACAGTCGATGATATTATGGTCCAAACGGTAGTCACATTTTCCTTAACTCAGACTGCCTACATGGTCTTTTTGATGGAATGTGACTTGTGCCCACCCTCCGTATTCGACACCCGCTATCCTTCATAACACGACATAGATCAACTAATTTAAGGTTGTCATGCCTTTTTACTGGACTTTTTGTGCAATGCGTGACAACCTTGGATTTTATTTCTAAGTGTTTCCTTTAAATAAAGACTCAATTTTCCTTCGAGAACTCAAGTAGACATTTCTAACTGAGCGGAGAGGAGGATATAAAAGTATGCACTAACCTTTTCTTTAGATGTGCTATTTACTTTAAATCGTTGGAAGTAAAGAGACTTGTAACTGTTCCGCGAATGATGGTCCGGTGACTTTCGAAGTGTCTACCTCATCCTATATTCCCACAACCACGGCAATGGCAGTGCAAAATCAGGATTACTGACGGTTAGGGTATAATATTACGATCCCCTCTCTCCCACCTCCACTAATAAAACAGAATCAAGAATTAATAGATGTTTTGGCAGATTTAGAATAATTTATTTCGACTCAGCTGAGAAAAGCTCGACGACCTCTGTGGGATTCAAACCCACGACAACAAGGGGAAGGTTTAAGTACATCCAACAGTGAGGCCATCCGAGTCACTCTTACGGGACTGGTGGAAATAGGGAGTTTGAGCGGGACGAGTAGAGATGTCCGGGAAATGCCTCTCTACATAAAAAAAATCCCAAGAATTCTCCTAACCACACAGTTCTTGCTAAAACCAACCAAAAATATGATATATAGACCATGCAAAACTAAATCCGACAAAAAATTCTAGGTCATGTCACAACCCTGCATCGCCAATTATATTTCTGTCATAGCATAAACAAAACGTCAGCTGTAAATCCAAATCCGGCTCCACCCGAACAATAAATGAAGAATCGGCATGTGATACAACTGTAACCCTTGGTCAAATGAATATAACAAACAAATGAAAAATAAAAATATGCACTGTTAGCAGTGACCTGTGCTCGTTAATATCTTACAAAACGTGTACTATAATATATACTGCATTTGCCCCAAAATACGCGAAATACTAACAGTAGTCCAGCAGCAAAACAAATGACCTACAAAGTTGCTAAGGGACCGGCAAATAAGCAGCAATATTTCAAAATGCAGCCTGTAGACGTAAAAATAAGAGATAATTAAAGGAAGGATATGAAGGGAATGATAATAGAGACCAAATCAGTGTAGCAGAATCTTACAAAGCTGGGAGACACACGAGAATTTTGAGGTAGATCTGGTCCAGCAGCCGCACCTGAAATGACTAAACCCCGACGGTCTGCAATACGGGGATGGTGGCAAAGGGGATTTTACGGGTGGGACATTCGGAAGCGTCAGTGAGATGGTTGTGAAAATGAAGTGGTGAAAAGGAGTTAATGAAGTGTACAATGAAATTTCAATGAGGTGAAACTGAATCGTAAATGATGAAAATACGGTAGGGGTCCAACAAGCCAATCTGAAGTGACAACGCGTGGTCAAGGTTATTCGACATGGTGTGCAGCCACACCTGATAAAGATTATACTGCTGATCTACTGATTTGTTTTGGGTGGGTGAGATCATGCTGAAATGACACACTTGCGCCTTGCTGAAAGGGAAAAGGCATCCTTGTGCTCGAGTATAGAGGCACGGTTAGTCTCAGGGTTCGGGTTGGTGTGAGGGTTAGGGTTAAGGCAGGCGTTAGGTTTGTCCTCAGTCTAACTCAGACCGAAAACGTAGCCATACCCCTAGCCCCAGCCCCTAACCCCTAACCTTAGCCCTTAACCCTAATCCCCAACCCCTAACCCAGGCAACTCGGAGGTTAGAAGGAGACGACGGACACCAAGTCGACGTAATCACGCCTACTAAAAACAGGTAAGTAGCAAAAACGCCAGTATTATTTTCACTAGGTGGGGTTATAAAATCAGGTCTTGCCGAATTTCGTAAACAATTTTCCGACGAACATCCAGTTGAAATCGACACAACTCTCCAAAATATCATTTTGAATTAATCAAAACATTGTCTTTTGGGACGTGCGAAGTCTGTAAATGTCGTAGAGTAAAACTGAAAAGTCGTTTTTTTCCTGTCACATACACAGATGAAAAGCACAAACCCAGGGGTAGCACAGTGATATGTGCGGAGAAAATATTTCCATGCCCACCCGTAAACCACGTTACCTGAGCTATTTCATACAGCTCAACGGCATTTACACAGAAAATGATACTATAGCCATCCGAATTACATCTTTGTCGGCACTTCCTGATTATTTTCACTAGCTAGTACGTCCTTGTTCAGTCTGAACTTTGCGTTTACCATATACGTAAGTCGACGTGTATAAATGCACAAAATGCATTCGCTTGTGCTTTCAACGTAATTTATTGCCAAACGCGATTGGGCGCAGATTTGGTTCATTACTGTCTACTGAATTCGCGCAAGGTACGCGGTTGTTTAAAATGTCACAAAACAACCCACATTCCACATGCAAATTACATTTGCTGGATATGACCTTGGCAATTAATGCGACTCTTCACTATTCTTCTGAGGGCGCGTGAGTTCCTCTCAAGTTAGTGGTATCACCAACTAGCAATAGTTAACAACAGATGGCGCCCATTACGGGTTGAAACTATCTAGATTCCAAAACGAAGGACAAAGACTCCATAGGTGAGTAAAAGTGTGCAGGTCCAGTTCCATAAACTATTTAATGGGAAGCTTACCTGTCATCGGTATAGCAGACAATAATCGACCCTGTCTTGTCACCGGTGTGTGGGAGAAAATACGAGGTAGAGGCGCCGACAGCCAGCTTCGCCATGAACAAATTCACACAATACTCACTACTAGGATCATTTCATGGGGTAAGGGTTGAACCCGCCCGTGGCGGCGGTCGGACTAACACGTATTGGTTGCCACATTCTCCCTCCCCCCTCCCCCTCCCGAAAATCGATCCCCTTGCTGTTTTGACCAAAACCGACGACCACATGGGTTCACGATGTGCGTTTGTGGGACTAAGGTGAGTTAGCCTGTGGCTCTAATCTCTGTTAACCTGTGTGTGCCGCGCATAAACGGGGACCGACCTAACCTCAATCACAGCACCCAAGCTCATTCTCAGTCGGCCCGACTCAGACAAACCATGTGGGTGTGTGTGATAGAGAGGGAGGACAGTGTGGGAACGACGAGGGGGAACCCACCTTCATGGCAAATCAGCGCATTTGCGCTAATATTAAATCTGGTGCGTCTAGGCATATCACGACACGAATGAAGGCGAAAGTTCGAGTTCCGCGTATAAGTGAGGAGGAAGAAGAAGAAGAAGAAGAAGAAGAAGAAGAAGAAGAAGAAGAAGAAGAAGAAGAAGGGTGTTCGAGCGCAGGAACATTCCGTTTATTGTTCCGAGCTTTCAAACTCGTGCAGGAGTCCATCGTCAGAGATGGTAGCAGCAACAGAACAAGCGACCGTTATAGGGCGTGTAAGCCGTTTATCGGCCGACGACGCAAGACTGGAGGTAACAGCGCAGAGATCTGTACGCAGGCGCCAGAACAATTAATCGATTGACCGAGTTCTCATCCAAGGCCCAGACTCCAATCAATTTTCTGCCTGTTTTGTTTCCGGCCCAAAACTCTGACCTTGCTGTTTTTGCATTGATTTTCTGTACGAATTCAAATCTGTTGTATTCTTCTCACTCGTTATCTCTCTTATGAAGCGACAGGACGCAGTTGAAGAGCAGTCGCGAAATTTTTTGGTACCAATAAATCCTGCCGTTCTTGCCTACTTCAGCTTCGTACCGGGGACAAAATGCTTCAAATAAAATTTACGAGTGAAGAAGAATAGGAACAGCAGTTGCCCTTCCTGGATGTGCTCGTCAGACTAAACCTTAACGGTGAACTTGAGACGACGGTTTAGAGGAAGGCGACGAACACCACACAACTTCTCAGTTTTAACAGCAACCGGCCGGTGGCTCGCAAACGAAGCTGTGTGAAGACGCTCTTCAAACGGATCCAAATTCACTTCAGCAAACCGGAGGGCACAGCACATGAGGCCCGCTATCTCCGCGACCAGTTTTTGCAAAATAGCTATTCGACGACATCCATAAGCCGCTGTCTGCGTGGTCGCCACCAGAAGACCCTAACATCAACGCCAATAACGATATGGAATCCTCTGCCATGCATCAAGGACGTTTTAGAATCAACCGAGCACATTTCTGCGGAGCTAGGTGTTGAAATTTCACACCACCCCAGAGCGCCCGTGCACAGTAGGGTCATGAAAATTAAGAACCGGCTAAAGCCTGAGGAATAATCTCGAGTAGTGAATCGCGTCCCGTGCTAAAACTGTCCTTGTACTTACACAGGCCAAGACTTGACGCATTCTCAGATCGCGCATACACGAACATAAGCTGGCTGTGGAACGAGGCGACACATTATCACGGATGGCCGCCCACGCCTACGAAATGGGTCACGAGTTTAACTTCGCAGCCATCAAGAGAGCCGCCCACGCCGGAAACAAAACAGGCAGAAAATTGATTGGAGTCTGGGCCTTGGATGAGAACTCGGTCAATCGACTTATTGTTCTGGCGCCTGCGTACAGAGCTCTGCGCTGTTACCTCCAGTCTTGCATTGTCGGCCGATAAACGGCTTACACACCCTATAACGGTCGCTTGTTCTATTGCTGCTACCATCTCTGACGATGGACTCCTGCTCGAGTTCGAAGGCTCAGATCAATGAACAGAATGTTCCGGTGCTCGACCACTCTTCTTCTTCTTCTTCTTCTTCTTCCTCTTCTTCCTCTTCTTCTTCTTCTTATTCCTCTTCTTCTTCTTCTTATTCTTCTTCTTCGCCCTCTCTTCTGCTTCTTCCTCTTCTTCTTCTTCTTCCTCTTCTTCTTCTTCTTCTTCTTCTTCCTCTTCTTCTTCTTCTTCTTCTTCTTCTTCTCCACAAAACATCATAAGTCGCCCATTGGAAAGTTGCCAGCTGACCGGATAACTCAGTCCTTGTGGGAGTGTTTTGGAATGACTAGAGGAGTGAGGGTCGGGCTGCGGCGTTAAACGCTTAATGTGACGTTTTTGATACTCTCACCTACGTGGGATCTAAGGTTCCTGCTGGCCACGGGAATTACTTCCTGAACAATTTTTCTATCTGCTTATTTAATTTAGGTAGTCTGATATACATTATCAATAGTCTCCGAAGTCCGTTGCTGTTATCACGCTGGTGGCGGAGCGTCCGCGCAGGCACCCCAAGCGTTGACACAGTGTGCCTACCTAAATCACGCACGTAAACAATCTACAGAAAGCTACTGGGATTGGTAATTACTTCGTACCGTTTTCATGAAACCAGACAATTTTAAAACACGTCAATTTGTCAAACACGCGTTTTCGGTAACTCGTAATCAGACCAAAACAGCTACATAGAAGTTGAAAATATGCGAAGTTCACAGGGTTTATCAGCGACTCAGGGGCTATTTACACTCATCGTTCCCACGCCACCTGCATGGCGGGTCGGCGTGTTATGGTCAAGGCAATTCACGGCGGATGTCGAAGCATTTAGCGTTAGAAGTCCAATTCGAGAGTCTATTTATTCAAACTGCGGATCTAAAACCTAGCGGGCCTAGAGAAGTTGACTATTTTAAGTCTATCATGGTTAACTGTTGTCAAGAGTACTTAAGGAAGGCTCCGAAAAATAACATTCCCTTGACAAGAGTCCATCCCGATAGCCTCAGGGGACTTCGTAAAGACGGAAATATTATACTAACCAGGCGGATAAGGGTTTGGGAGTTGTACTCATGGATATAAAAGATTGCGTAGCAAAACCTAGAGGCAATCTTGTCGGATCGTACCAAATTCTGGAAAATCGAGAAGGACAGGGACCGCACCGAGGACGTTGGAAGTGGGTTGACGGCGGTTCTCAAAATTCTTCACAAAGAACGTCATTTATCTGACAAAGAATATGGGCTACAAAGACCAGTGGGTACGGCCATGCCCAGAATGTACGGCCTCCAAAAGATTCACAAACACGGGCTACCCCTGCGCCCAATCGTGGATCTGAGGAATTCGCCCTATCACCCCATAGCAAAATGGCTAGTCGAAAAGCTTAAACCGCTGCAAAGTCATTTGTACCCTTTTAGTTTGAAGGACGCCTTTGAGTTTGTCGAAGCTATCAAGAATATAAACGTTGACGGACGGACGATGCTATCACTAGACGTAGCATCACTGTTTACTAATGTATCCGTGGCCGAAAGAATAAATTACCTTCGTGTCGATATCCGCGACACGAACTGTCCGTTAGGTATGCCACTGGAAACGTTAAAATAACTACTGATACGTTGCACGTAAAACGTCCAGTTTTTCTGAAATGGTCAACTATACAGGAAAATAGACGGCTTATCCATGGGCTCACGACCCGGTACGTTCCTCGAAAATGTCTTCATGCGCAAAGTCGAGATGACAAGGTTACAAAATACTAGTAATGACCTTGACTTCTACGGTCGGTACGTGGACGATGTTTTCTGCCTGACGAGTGTTACTGCCGACACAGACGCCCTGATCAAAAGTTCGACAGTGCGTACCCCTCGCTAAAGTTCTCTACAGAGTTTGAGACAGACAACGAAATCGCGTCCCCCGATGTTCTACTGCACAGACAGGAGGATGGATCTATCCAGCATTGGGTGATCCGAAAGAAAACCTGGACGGGACAATACATTAATTTTCAGTTTTGTTCCCCAAAATATTTAACAAAATTTGGCCCCGGATTGGCGGCTAGAGTGCGACTTATCTGCTCTCCTGAGACTGATGAGGCAGAATTCTAGCAGCTGCGGGATACACTCCACGAAAGGGGATACACCGAAAGATTTATCCTCCGAAATATAGGGGAGCGCACTGCAAAGGCTACCATAGCAACTGTAGAAAAGAAAGACTTATCTATAAGTCTACCTTTTCAAGGGGTCACAGCAAGTGACCTAGTAAGAAGACGTCAAAAGACAGCGATCACTAGTGCTTTCCCGCGGCGAATTTACGTATGTTTCACAAACTCTCCCCTCCTACGCTTGGGAGGTAAAGACCGACTCCCGTTGCAAGCCACATCAGTGTGCATTTACCCATTCACTTGCTCCTGTGGAGCGGGATACAGTGGCCGTACAACGAGGCGCTTGGAAAAGAGAGTACGTGAACACATACCGGCCTGGTTAGGCAGGAGTGAAAAGAAATTGCTTTCGAGTTCTATTCTCGCACATCTTGTCGATGCGAATCACCGAGTCGATGCCAAAGAAACCTTTCAGGTGGTCTACCGGACACTAGCAAGCTTCTCCAGAGGCCTACGCCAACGGGTGCTAACTACAGCCGAGGCAGTGGATATACGGCTAGCCAATTCAGTGCTGTGTTGTCAGAAGACGTTTACACAGGCGCTCTATCTTCCGTGGGCAACGCCGACCCCAGATGATAATTGCACTTCGGCCCAACCTCCTGATGGCAGGGATGTGTGCTCAACGTACTCGACTTACAAACGGCAGTCGTAGCCTATGTCACCCCCCTCCCCCTCGCCCCTTTGACCCAATGACCATAACACGCCGACCTCGCCATGCAGGTGGCGTGGGAACGATGCGTGTTAATATCACCTGAGTCACTCATAAACCCTGTGAACTTCGCATATTTTCAACGTCTATGTAACTGTTTTGGTCTGATGACGAGTTACCGAAAACACGTGTTTGCCAAATTGACTTTTCAATTGTAAAATGGGAATATTCGCAGAACTCAGACAATTTTTATTTCAGAATAACTATGCGTTATATTTCTTTCAAGGTACTGACCTTTGGCAACTATAACTTTTTCCCGTCTTTCGGGCAACACATTTTCCCTTCCGTGGAGAAGCTGCTTACCTTTTTAGGCGTTCAGGTTTTTTGCACTTGAGATTACCGTAGCAGGTCTATTTTTCGTCACAGGTCGTGATTCAATGCAAAATGAGTGTATTGAAAGCAATACTCCGCATGTGGTTTTGAGCTTTTGCCACTTCTGAAGCGTATAAACCATTTTGCGTATGTTATTTCACAGACAGTGTGCTCAATATGAGCTTACACAAATAAACATTGATTTTTAGCCGCGCTCTATGTCCAAATTTAAACAGAAGAGCACTGTTTTCTGCAAATGATTTTTTTTCAAATAAAATTTTCCCATTTTCCTACAATAAAACCATTAATGCTAGCGCTTCAACCTACTGTTCTAAACTAAACAAAACCACTTCAATAAATTATTTTATAATACATGTGTTGATGTTTTAGGTTACCTAAAGGCAGTATCTATTAAAGCATTTAAAACGAAACGACCCAAATTAACTACCCTGCGTAAAATTTCACGAGTGTACTTATTCTGGTGTCCACCAGTGGCCTCTGCCCTGAATGAAGTCCAGCACTTGAATATTTAGGGACCAGGTCATGCCTGACGCGCGTCGAAGAGTCGACTTTGCTAAGCACAGCAGCGCCGTCCATCTCCAACAGTTTTTCCTCTATTTACCTATCAGGACACAGAAGATTTAAGAAGGGGGCATTGTCGTAGATTTAGGGCAATTCTGCATTCCTATGATGAGCTTTATGCGTAAGTATCGGCTGTGCCCCCCCTTTTTTTCTGTAGGTGGATATGGCGATATTTCCATCCCGCTAACGTTTGGTTAATAAATATGCAAACAGAGTTAATCACTGCCCCTCTCTGTCTCATTCACACCATTCTAGAAAGTTTTACGTCCGAGATCTCCTCGCCACAATGAACGTATCGCCTGTTTAGGGCATACGTACGCCTCGTTCGAAGCAGGCTATTTACCCACCAACTGAAAATCGGTACGGATTACACCACCGTATAAAGTCGGTAACAAGGTCTCAACAAACAAGTACAGACCAGTCAGACCCATTCCATTCTGCTTCAAAATTATGGAAAAAAAATCATTAAACGAGACATTATGGCTTCTTAGATCAGTACGATCTGCTAGATGACGCCAAACACGGATTCCGTAGGGGGCAGATGATGCTTGGTACACCTGATTTACTGCTTAGAACGCTGGACCCGGGCACTCGGAGGAAAGAATGCAGTGCCCGCACCTATATCGACTTTAAGAAAGCATTCGATAGTATGCCACATCAGCACCGCCTGTACAAACTAACCCGAGCAGGCATTAGGGGTAATCTACTGAAATGAATTCAAAGCTTATTGATTGATCGCTCTCGAATTATCCATGCCGACTATGGGCAGTCGGCAGAGATAAGGATTGAAAGCGATATTCCTCAAGGCTTGGTCCTTGGCCCTACCCTGCCCATTATATAAACTAACGACCGTGTTAGTGAACCAGATTGAGATGTCTCCATGTTTACCAATGACTTCAAGCTTTAGAGAGTCATCCGAACTGAATTTGACGAAAAATGCATGCAGGCAAGCCTGAACCGGATCGAAAAATGGTCACAGGACTTCCTTTTGCCGTTTAATGTGACTAAGTGCAACATTTTGCGAAGCAGTTGGACTCGATCTCCGAACCACAGGGTTAACCGCAAAAATGACTTACCATTGCAGGAGACAGATACCCAGGAGGACTTTGGTCACGGCTTCACTTAAACCGTCGCTTCTCTGCTCTGCCAAGTCTGTGACGTCAGCCCTTTACCTTGTCAAGCGGACTTTCTCTACTTTCGATGAGAAATATTTTGCTAAAGTCTTTCAGACGTTTGTGCGGCCAAGGTTGGAGTTCGCTATTCAAGCGTGGAAACCTAGGACTTCTAAAGACCTCAGCATCCTTGGAAAAGTTCAAAGGCGTTCAACCAAGCTCGTTAGTGGACAGGGTTCACTACCTTACGAAACACGGTTATCCAATCTCGGCCTTTCGCCTCTGAGTTACAGACAACTAAAACGTGACCGGATGAAGACATCCCATATAATTCGCGGTCAGGACCGCTGTCTATTACCTGCGGACTTCTTTGAATTAGCAACCACAGCGGACCTCCGAGGTCATCCACTCGAATAACGTGTGACGGACACCAGGCCGGACACAAGGAAGTTCTTCTCCAACACAGTAGTAGAAGCTTGGAATGCTCTGCCTGCAACTATCGTCATGTTCGCATCCGTTGAGATTTTTAAGATCGAGCTGGATCAGTATACCACAATACATCACGATGCAACCCGACTGATATCGATTCGACGTCCTGAGTTAACAATTTATCACTATTATAGTATTGCTGCTTATATTTCAATAGCGTGTTTTCTTTCAAATTACTTATTGTTCCAAGTCCATCGCACGCGAATACCGGCATTCTCTGCGGCCTCATTAGATAACTGAAATCGTACCACCTTTTCTATGACACAGTCATGCATAGAGTGACCACAGTACAATGCATCTAGTAGTATTTAGTGTTAGCACTTAGAATAGCTCGTTTATCTGTACACGTTGAATAATTTTTATATGAGTGTTTGAGATTTCGGTTTCCCACCTTTTAGGCACATTTCCCATTTTTGTAGCAAATAGGGAATTCAAAGGCGCAATGCCTATATTTCCCTCAAGTAAAGTGAACTGAAAAGAAAAGGTAGCATGAACACCTCCTGCGTTACGGACGTTGGCAAACATCACTGTGAAGCGCGGACCGCCCTAATATGTATGCATATGACCGAAAAGGCTCGTGTAATGATTAAACGTGTAGAAGTGGTAAAACTCCTGGCTAATGATTGTATTTTAACAATTGTCGGACTGTAGGTGACGTAAGTCATTAAATACTAGCTGTAAATCTGAAAAGTATTTTCTTCTAGAAAGGGTCACTCAGGAAGCGTCGAAACATTGCTAATCCCGCAGTACAACTTCGAGAAATTTCAGTTATACCAGAGTGTCGGCTTTTGAATGCTCGTCTGTCGGGCCACCTGCGAAAATCGTATTCATTAAAGGGACTGCTTAAGTAGCATGCATTTTTAAAGGATTTTCAGTGCCATTAACAATGAATAAAAGTTTTTAAAAGGCATACTCAAAACAGCCTTTTCATGCGAATTTAACGGAAAATTGAGTTTTTTATATTTGAAGGAGGGAGTTTTTACTTCAGCAAACTGTTGCTAATAGGACATTTTTAGTACAGTGAAATGTTCGTGCAAGTAGCATTGCATCTATACGTTCACTGATGCTCATTTTGAGGCACACACTTTCTATTCTAAAATCTTATGAGCGAGAGATGGCAACTTCTTGGTAGTATGGAAGAATGTATGCTTTTGGAAACACAAAGTGCAAGTGCAATTAGGGTTGAAAATTATTCGGGGCTTGAAAACTTATTTGAAACAGGCCATTTCCTTTTTTGAATAAACGTAATTTGCCGCAAAATTGTATTCAAGGAAGGAAATTTTGAGTCCTTTTTCTATTAAAACCGCTTAATTTATAAAAAGATCCAAAGCAATGGAAAAACACATACAACCTGAACGGGATTATCACAGGTAGTCTGGAGGGCGCTCACTCAAAAGCCGGCATTCCGATGGGGCTGCAGTATCTCAGGATTTTTCGGCAGGATAATCAGTATTGCAACCTTACAGTAGGTATGTGCTGCAGCCGAATATGCGACTGAAGTGTTGGTAATGAACATATGAGATACAGAAGCCAGTTGTCCATTCTTATCACAATGAATTCGAGGAAGAACTGCCAGACTGATATGTGCCTCGAATGCATGGTCAGAATAGGATGAAGTTGACACTTCAATGGTGGTGGTGGTGGCGGCGGCGGCGGCGGCAGTGGTGGTGGTGGTGGTGGTGGTGGTGGTGGTGGTGGTGGTGGTGGTGGTGGTGGTGGTGGTGGTGGTGGTGGTGGTGGTGGTGGTGGTGGTGGTGGTGGGGGACGTTATGTGAGTCTCGGTGGTGCCCAATTTGCGTTCGATATGGAGATGTTGGACCAGGACAGACTATGAATGAGTAAAACTGGTAGTAAGGGCACTGGCGAGGAAGTGATGTTGTGCAGGAGGCAGGTCGATGATACTATCATTGTGGCGAGGTTGTAGATTTGCAAAAAGGTCATACCGGGCCTTAAATGTGTACCGACAGGGAGAATGTGCCGATGGGGGTTAGACGTTTGCAAAGTCAGTTTGATATACTCCATCCCTTTACACCGATCACTTCACTTTGGCCGCCTGTGCCCAGTCGGTTTCACAAGTGGCCACCAAATTTGAATGACTTTTCGTCAAATCTACTTGCTTCGCAGGCGTTATCCAGGTGAGAAGTATATAGGCAGATTGCCAGGGTTCTCTTGTAGCGTCATTTTGTTGAATATTTACAGCGGGCAGCCTGAATGAAGCATTCGAAAAAGAGTCATTTAGACATACGTTCTTCAGCCGTCCTTAAGATGCCGCCGTTTCATTGCATTAGGATCTGTTTAACGCATAGTAAAATCAAGGAAGTGGGTGTCTTAGATCCGTTTCTGGTAACCAAACCGTTGTATCTCTCGAGAACAGCTTTAGGGGAGGGGTGCGGCTTCACGAGACCATCCAGCCATGCACATGGTGGGATAGTGTGGTCAGAATGACAGACGTACATCTATATTGCTTTCTGAGGAGGATGCCGAGAGGAATTATATGAAGTGCTTTAGACTACCACAGGCCTGGCTAGTAGTTGGGGATTCCAAATGAAATCTGTTTGCTGGTTTTAATGGCTCATGAGATTTCGCTTCTTAGTCAAAATGAAAGGTCGAACACTTCCAAGAACACCTACAGTAGGTGTCCGTAAATCCGAAAATTGGCGCCGGTTGATGCGAAATAACCGTCTTATATGTATTGCCAGCTAGTTGGGAGTTAGCACACTGGGAAGCAAATAGGTTCAGAATTCGTTGTATATTTGCTTTAGCAGTGAGTTCGAGTGAACAGTCATTAGCAAATAGCTCATGCATCCTGACTGTGGAGATCATTGTTATGACCGTCATACTGCTCACATTTAGGCCATGTTACCCACTCAAACTGCTGCGGTATATAAAATGCACTAATTCTTTCACACTAAGCTGACTGCCCCATCAAGATTTCCTACGTAGTCAGTACAGGAAAAGTTAATCTAAGTCACTTTATTTAAGGAGTAAGACTTTCGCTCTTGAGCTGGCCATTAATGTCCGAAAAAGTAACAGCATCAATTTTTAAAGCGATATTTCGCGGAAACGTATAAGGACTGTCATATGAGGGTCGTGAATAAACTGCCGCAATTTAGACATTTTAAATTATGTTACAGTTCCTCATTCATTTATTTCTAGCACGCATCTCAGTGTTTCAACAGTCCCTGCAAGCGCCACTGCAGCAAGGAGTCTGTTCCAAGCTTAGACGACCATCTGCAAGGAGGTTTTCCGTCATATGGACGTATGGACCAACCTCCTCTGAAGTCTAAGGGGACGATCACGTTTTCGGTCCTTCCCAGTAAATTCAAGAAATTTATAGGAATGTGGGACACTCGCATGGCTTCTGCCAATCCCGCAGGCCCGGGTGAGGTCACCGCGCAGTTGCCTGTATCTTAGAGGAAACAATTTAAGTTCAGTCGGTCTGACCTCGTAAGACAGACGACAATGCTTCTTCACAAGTTCGTAGAAGTCACCTTAGCTTATTCCAGTAGTTCACAATAATTATTAGGTCACAGATGCCACGCCTGTACGGTATGCGCTAAGTGAGACCGAACAAATGTCCCGTAGGTTTTGCCTACTAGCTCCTTGTTGATTTTTACAAATACGATTAACGAGCACGACCTACAACTTTGTTGCGCGTTTAGCAGCCTTTCAACACCGTGATGATAGTTTAAACGAGGAGTTCATTATAACACCGAGGCGTTTCTGCTTTTCGACATTTGTTGGTCCTCAACGAAGTTAAAATTTAGGAGCCGACAACAGGTAGCTGACAAGTTGGTTGTAGTTGGTTATAATTACAGTAGTTGCCAATAATTCTGATTTTCATGTGACAGATAGTTTCAATGATTCACGTCAATTTTTCCCCTTGGAATTACCCTTTCCCTTCGGTTTTTTCTAAGATATTTCTCTAAGATAAGCCAGACTGAATAAAATTAAATAAACAATGAAATTTGTAGCGGACAGCCAGCATGGCCAGTTTGGCACCATTGTTCAAAGCCTCGCTGCCGTTCTAGTATCATTCACCGTTTGCATTTAGTCGTCTCAGACACGCTGACCGAAAGCCACTTGACAGACTTCAGCTTCGACATATCTGCATCCACACAGTCGCAGATGCCAATAGCGCCATTCGAACGCACCTCCCCCTGCAACCACAGCCTTAACCATTGGGACGCCACCCCTTCCAATTTGTGAACTCTGCAAAGTCGCGGAAATAATTCCTTTTGAATTCATCTGCTGTTTCCGAGAGTACTATGAACCTTTATCTATAGGTAAAATAAATTATCTAAGGGTCCATTTCCGTTGATTAGGATGAAACGTTTTGTAGGATATGTGCTCGGCACAGATTAAAGGTTACTTCATTGCCCTTTTTGGGCTTAAATCCATCACGGATGCTTGCAGAAAGATAAGATACTGTTTTGTTACCAGCGGGCTTAAATCCCATCTCCGAGGTCGATTATTTATATTTTTGACGAATCTGAATATTCCTAACGTGCACTGCGAACTTTGACAATACTAGGCGTCGCACTGTCACGGCAACGACCAATCGGTGGAGAAATTAAAACATCATTTCCTCATTGGTTTCGTCTTACACGAAAAGAAATGGGTGATGTCGACCCACGCATTATCAAACGAACTCAAGATACACTAGGAAAGATTATAAAGAAGCCGCCGCTTACAGAAAAACTTCTTTCACGTCCTCCATTTCGTTTTATTCATGACATTTGCACATCAGTTAGTTTTTGTCTGAGAACTTATAAGGACTCCTAGTTAATTCGGTCAACAGGTGTCATGAAAGGCTTATTCACTCCCGAAGAAATGCAAGCTGACAACGTAAAGGAAAAAGAAGCTAAAGTTCAATTCCTGAAGAAAGTTCTCGATTTTCTTGCTGTTGTGCACAGTCGGGTACCTCCCATCCGTATATCCAGTATAATTGCTGGCAAAGAGGCTGACAAAACTAATCTCCTCCTTCAACTCCTTGCTGAAACAGTCAATCGAGGAGTACGCTTCCGTAAAAATTCTTACTTTAGATAAATAACGCTGACTGTGTCGCAAAGGCCCTTTCCAATACTCCCGAAAGTACCGAGGTACCAACGAGAATTGATGGTGATAAGAAGACCGAAAACGGTTTGTCAGTCAGCATTGACGAATTAACTAGTCGTACCCTCTAAAAAGGCCGTACCTTCGGAAGGCCCAAAGCGACACGCCGATGCTGAACGCCGAAATGAACGACAAAAGCGTTCTGGCGAAGAAACACGAATGACTGAAAAAGACGATACTCAGCTGAAACACGCCGAAAAACCGAAATCTAGAAAGGTCGCGTGTAAATTGCTTATTGTATTTTAAAAATAGACAGCTGACTCAAAGAAAACACCACGAGATCACAAAGCGCATGAAAAGGTAATTGGTTGTTTCCATCTCTTGAATGCACTGAAACCGGCGAGGAAAAGTTCAAAACTATAATCCAGAGCAGTTTGAAAAGCGTACCAACTTACTAATTTCATATCTGAGATTCCAGGGCATTTAATATTTTGCACGTTTAAGACTAGGATCGTCCACTCGGTAAAACATTTCCTAGAATTAACCAAAATCTGTTTAGGCAAACGTGACAAAGTAATATTCTCCTTCGATGCCTTTTTCCTGTTTCATTTAAATCCCGCAAAAAGTAGGCATCTACTCGACATGTCGTAACCACGAGGGACCTTTTTTGAAGCGTCATCTTGTTGGACAGACGTCGATGATGTCAAATATTATATCAAACTCTTAGAATTTTGTCTCAGGACATGCTTAAATTTTTGTGAACAAGTGTGCAAGCAAATAATTGACAGGAGGATATGATGGAGTTTGACGGCTGACAAGGATTCAGAACGATCCAAACGGCGCGACCTGTCTCAAGCGAAATGTGCCAGGGAATTTATCGATTGTAACTCAGACAGAGAATTCTCACAAATAGATGTCTCACGACTCATGTCTAAGAGGTCCGATCTCTGCATTCATAAATTATGTGAGCGATTTTTTGACGATCTAAACCTCGGAAGTTAGCTCACAAACTACAAGTTACACTCAGTTGAATGTACCTTAGCTCAGGTGTTTCACCTTTTGGTAGGAGCCCCGGTCTGTAAGCTCTTTTTATGTATGCTGACTGCATCTGCGCCGGAAACGTCGATGAAAGTTGAGGGCCTACATGGAAAAAATCAGCTGAAGGTCTGGCAAGCAAATAAACCGCTATACAAACTATAGAATTTGGGCGAACCTTTAGTTTTGGCGTTTCAAGTGTCCTTGGTCGAGGCAGCATGCGAATCGAAAACCCTAGTTTCAAGACTGTTTCCTGACGCAGAATCTACTAACCGATGTTTTGAGTTCAATATAGCCCAGCAGATCTTGTAACTTACTGGAATAGGCAGATCAGGCAGTAACTAGAGCATTCCAGCCACCGTAAGGTCCATAAAGGCTCGAAATTCGCGAACATTAGAAGCAGGACGAAGAAAGATCGATTAAGGTCTGTACAGCTGTGCATATCGCACTTCGAAGCCATCGTGGATCTACAGCGTCAGGATCGCAAATTCGACATAAACGTGTCAAAAATCTGTCTGCGCTGATGAATCATCATTTGGATAAATGCATGCTAGTGTGTAGATTAGGCTGTGCCAATCCAAACTTAGTAACCGTTTTTTGTGGACAAACTAACAACAAATGACAGTAGACCAAACGGCCCAAGTTGTCAGACAGAAAATGGGCATGTCGAAACCAAGTCCTTCTTTTTTATTTGCTTCCCAATTTCATCCTAACAAGAAAGAACGTGAGTTTTGGCGAACACCTTGGTTGAAGATGTCTAAGGTGAGGCCAGTCAAAATTAATTCATGACGTGCAAAGGTCCTGTTCTGTGAGATGTTGAAAGCCCTCTTGCGCAAAGAAATGCTTAGTTCGTGCTAGTTTGGCAGAATTCTTATTTCTGAACTTGCATTGAAGTCGGCATAATGACTGACCTCCAGACGACGTGTTTTACTGCGGATTTAAATTTGTGTCAACAGTCTGTTAAGAAACATAGGCCTTTGTGGAATGCTAGATTCCACGAGCCAATCTAACTAACTATTTCATGTTCACTTTCGACCCAAGATTATACTTTGGGTCATAAGAAGGACTCAGTCAAATACAAACACGCCGGCTGACTTGTTTGTTTTTATTCTACACTTTTATAGGATTTTAAACGCCACTGTCTGTCAGTACCTCAGTCGACATCGGTTTCTAAACAGAATGAACCTCCTCGACGAAAGCAATGCCAAAGTCTGCAAAACAGCCATCATTTCCCTCTCGTTATTAATCAGGAGGTCACGGTCTTTTATTAAGCACGGGGCATTCCTAGAATGACTTTATCCGAACATTAGCAAACCTAACTGGTTAATGAAAGTGCAAACTCTACCACGAAATATGCTTTCGGTGGCTCCTCACACTTGCAGGACTAGCTGTGCTTTTTATTTTGCCAGGCCACTGGGCACCTTACTTGTCTTGAGCGGAGAACTCACCGGACTGTGATGGGTGAGGAGACAGATGCAAGCTAAGTCCAATAAATCCAGGTCTGGGACTTTCCTGTGGATTCCGATGCGACAGCTCATGTTGATCTTCTATCAACACAATGCCATTGCTATTCACTTAAGAAGGTTTCCCTGTAGCAGTGCCTGATGCCACAAATAGTCATTTGGAAATCTCCTTCATGCATTGCGAAAGAAAGTATACTTTTTTCATAACACTGGAGTTAGAAGGCCTAGAGATTTCAGTACTCAGCGAGGAGCGGCTTATAACCACTGACCAGCAATTCAACTGGTAAACCCGAATAGTGCTATGCTCTCAAGTTTTGAATGACGAGCTTCAGGTATTATGATTACAGCTACATTCTTCTGCTCAAGATAGCAGCAGACACGGAATACAAGTAAAAGATTGTTAACAAAATACTTACAGGTTAATGAAGTCGAAGAGACCAAGAGAACAGAAGAACCCGGCGAACGTACAGGTGCAACGTCCAGTGCGAGTCAACAAGCGAGATCACAACCTCGGTCTCCAGCTTCCCGAAGAGAGACCCCCAGCATCAAACGTGAAGATTCCCCACAAGTGAAGTTAACCCCCGCTGAAGAGTCCCCTGCAGGTCAAAAGATTTGTAGACCTCCTTCAGCAAATGGGAAGCGAAAGCCCCTTGAAGGTAACGTTTCGGTGATTTCCAGTTCATCGTTCAGCTGACACATGTTACGTGTACCACCTTGATAAGCTGAAGTTACTTCTGCTAACCTTGTGATTTGCAGGTAGAAAAAGTACGTTTCATTATTCTAGATCGATTGCCATCTAACTAGTGGTCACAAACAAGACAGAGTTTTGCTTGTTAACCATGCCTGCGTTCTCCCCTGCACATAACATACATGAATTTTCGTCGCCAACATATTCACCCTTTAATTGCATACCAAGTAAATTTCCTTGAACTATTCCTTTTAACCATTTGTTTAGCGCGTCATTCGTCACTTCAGGAGCAGCCCGAGATGGAAAAGAAGTAAGTCCACAGATTATGTCCACCGCCCTCCAGTCTCCCCTTCCATACTAAGTTTCTCCATATAGGTAAACTGGCATTGAAGGTTTTGGAACTTTTAAATGTGCTTCTTCATATATGGGACAGTTTCGGTATTTTTCCCCCATTTTTATTGTTGACTTTTTGTGAGATTTGGAGATCAAAGTATGACTTGATTCTAAAAAAAATTCGATAAATTTGTCTACCTTATTTGGGATCTAGTTGTTGGACGCATGTGATTTCTCCCAGGATATCGATTATCGTATTTGCAGGGGTGACGTTGAGTAATTTTTATTAATTTATATCTTTATGACAGGCTCCCAACGGCTGAAGAACAAAGGAGCGGTACCAAGGATCTCCCACCACCAGACAGCGTGGAGTAAGTCATTAACGATAGTGCTTTAAAGTCTGCTGTCGCCTTTTGGCTTGGTGACATGATGAAACCGAAGTAAGACCCAGACTGCCTCTGTGGTTTTCAGGTATTTGAATGGGTCATTTGGCTTGTTTGAGATTCAGGTAGAATCTTCCTCTTGTTCCGAATTTGGAGATTCACTGAGTCACTTGCAGGGTAGCAAGCGTTAGTTTTCTCCCACATTTACATCAGAAAAACTCCGCAACCGAACAAAACGGCTATTCACCATAGCGACTGACGAGAAGCGAGCACCTGGTTCCACGGCAGAGCGCCTCGTTCCATGCTCGAAACCAAAGACTCCAGGTTATAAGTGGTGGTTACCCACGCTCAGTTTTGCTGTGTGGTTGGCTCGCGAAGGTTTATAAGCCAGAAGCGCGGCCACTTCGGCTCTCTTTGCTACTGACTGTACTCTTTTTTAACTGATTCTTAAGATCTTTTAACTAGAAGCTATTCCAACTTCATGTAGTAGCCAGTGCCAGGGAATCGGAGATAACAGAACGCATGCACAGGCTAGCGACCACCGGTTCATACTTCAGACAGTCCTCTGTCAGGCAGCTCATACATGCAAGGCAGGCAAGACCTGCTCTTGTACAAAGGTCATCAGTGACTTCCTTCAAGCTAGTACAAATACATTTCGATTAGCAGTTTGCCGGGACAAATAGCCTTTGAAGCAGACCTTAACAGCTGCTGTCTTAGTCTTGTCGCGTCCTTTTCGACTGTTTCTTATATATCTATGACGTTCAGCGCTCACGAAAATCTCATCCTATGCAGTAGAGAATTTCTCAAGATCATCTGTTAATCTCATTTTCCTGAAAAATACATCTTTAGATCTTATTTCTGGGAGAATGGCGTGTGACTCGCTAGACGGCCACGTCAGCCATTGAGTCCAATCTCATGTCTAATCTGCTTTACTCTAACAGTTCCCTGGGTCACTAAAGAGGCATGAGAAGGAGACAGCTTGATCCGAATCCGATCGTTGTAAGCAATTAATTACGCCCTGAACGCGCCACCACATGTAATCTGTCGTGGACTAGGAGATTGTCGATTGGTGGGATAACTGAGTCCTACGCGTGTGTGAGGTGCTCTAATGTGACCTTTATGACATTCACTTGTATGAGACCTGAGAAACCCCATGAACGGAGCCTGGTACGTGTGGAATTAGGCGCTGATCGTGTGTGGCACTCACAGACGGGCTGTTTTGCGCTATCCTCCACTGCGTCCACATCCACCTGCGGTCCTGTTGAGTTTGTCTTGCCCTTGCAAGGTGGTGGGTGTGAGATGAGGAGGTGAGATAGACTGTGCGTATGTCTGCCTAACTATAAACAGCTCCACGTGCAAGTCACCAGCGCTCTTCCTCATCGGTTGAGACCGTCTAACCTTCGGTTTTAAATTTCTATATAAGATGTGACCAATACAAACTTTTTATACAGATAATTCTTTGACTTATTTTTCCCTGTACCTTCTCTTACTCTGTTAGTCCACATCTCGTGGAAGGTGGACCGTCTGCTCCACCAATTTCTGGATTACTAACAGAAAACCAGGTGGACTCCGACGACGACGACAGTTTCATTATCGAGGAGAGTGGCAGTGGTGTGCATCTGGCTAGGGGTGGTCTCGGTCTGGGGGATGACCTGATCGACGAGGACAAACAACATGGTCTGTTCCTAGGGCCACCTTTTTGCCTTACTTTAGGGATAATTTGACCATGTCAACTGAGTTTGAGGACCTCGAGTATTTGGGCTGGAGTCCTGCTCACCCTAGGCAGCGTAAGGCGGTTGGCAGCAACACCGTGGCACACTTTGTCCTCCAACTTTTTCCTGTTATGTCAGACGTTTCCGCACCCCTAAGCGGGGGTTGGGCAATAGTGGCTTACATTAAATCAAAAATTGTGTACAACACTAACTGGCTTTATGAGAAGCCGTACTTAGGGTTCCGCTGGTCGCGAAGTTTTCTGATCATTAAACATTAAAACATTAGGTGGCGTGAACTCCGGTCAAGTTAACTTCTGTCAGAGGTCTCCTCTTTAGTTAGGGCATACTACGTGAGAATGCAGGCAACCTGATCATTTGAGTTAATTTTTCTGTATATCCCAGAAAGTTTTAATATCAAACATCTGTTTGTTCTTATTTTTATTGGCCTGAAATCTGAAAATACTCTCTCGAGGACCCGGTATATTTCCTGTTGTGACATTCCGTATGAACTAACGTGTTTTTGTGCGGCTTTCGATTTTGGCATAACGCCAACGTCTGGGAGGGAGTTTTTCTGTTTCTTTATCTGTTGTATGTGCTGTTTGAAAATTCTCACCCAGCTGAGAGGGCTACACGAATCAAAAAACCCTGAGCTCTTAGTAAACATATTATCACTGCTGCATTTCAGTCATTTCATCTATGCTTTTGCCTCTCATTTATACAGGAGTACTGGTGACAAAAATTCTCCAATCTAAGGAGGAGCTTGGTGGTGGAAGTCTTGTACCTGGAGAACGTGGTCTATCAAAAGTGAGTTCAAAAGGGTACATGAACCACCTCGTAATCTTGATTAGAAAATGTTCATATTGTAACTGATTACGACTTTTGTGAACAATCGTCATCTTAAAAATGTGCGTACTCAACATATGTACATGGTAGTATAAAATGACACCGACGGTCGAATCATGGGAGATTCTACCCCAAGTTTGTTTTCTGGGCTTGTTGTTATCCAACTTAGTTGCACTTAAAAGGCAGCTCACTTCGACAACAAAGAAGCATTCTTTTTCTCAACACTACGGTCTTGGTAGGTGTGCATTCCAGAGTTTAGTGGATGAGTGTCGTTTTGGAGACTTTCATAGGTCTGTATTCCTTAATCTGCAGGAGTTCTGCAGTCCTTCTGGTGCAATTATGAAGCAAATCAGCTCTATCTAAATTCTCTTATATTCTGCATTACCTGGTACCCATCTGATCTACAATGACTGCAAAGTGCTTGGATTCGTATGCTTACAGAGTATGACCGGCTTTGGAGTTTTCTTTCTGTCTGCACTGTCGTTACTCTTTACACGTGGTTATTCGAAATTCTCATGTTTCGACCCTTTTAATACCTAATTTCCTACTATACGCCGGGAGTTTCGGCACAAAGTCGCAGAACATGTTTAAAGATAGGGCTATGTACTTTCTCAGCAAATGCCTAGGAGGTAACGCACTTTAAACGCTTGCGATTGTTCTGTGTGCCCCATCACAATCAACTATGTAAATTGGATTTCCTCGCCGAATCGTCGGGACAATTTTTTGAACTTTGATGGCTTATACCTCATAACTGGAAAATTTATCTGAACTTTGGTAGTGTCCAGCACTACGTATTTCAGTTTGGTTAAATAGAACAGCAGACCCTTTGTCTTGGATACTCCTCCTCAAAATACAAGGCCGAAGTCCCTTTTAGGGGCGTAAAGGCCAAATGGCCGATCAAAAAGCCGAACAGAAAATGCATGCTCTATGCCAAAAGATTGATTTGTAATTCTCACCATCACTTTTGCATGGTGCTTTCCAATAAATTCACAAACTACTGTTTACTGAGGCCTCTTATGTTGTATACTTTATTGCCTGTTAAACTCCAAAGTGCTATCTTAGTTCATAAATTGCATTACTTTGATTTCTATACCAAGCAACTGGTGGCCGAAAAACCTGTAAACTTTTTTTCACCACAGTTGTTTAAAGATGTGGTGTTAAACAAAATGGCACTTCTGAACGTTGCCACGCCTTCTTGATAACAAGTCTTTTTTCTCTGGTGAAGCCTGGTTGTCTCAACTTCTGTTCCTCCGTCGTTAGGGCCCGGCCGCTCTCACCGTCACTGTTGATGAGGCTGCAAGAAGGCGTGAGAGACAGGCAACGGAACGCGAAATGGAGCGTCTCTCACAGGCGCTTCAGTCTCTAACACGTTCTGCTCTGCCACTGGGAAAACTGGTTGACTTCCTTCAGGAGGACCTGGAGAGCATGCAAACGGAGTACAGAGAGTGGAAGGCTGAAGATCAGCGACTGCAGTTACAACTCAATATGGTGCTAAAGTAATGCTCCTATTACTGTTTGATTTTTAACCCAATTAACGCTTTAAATCGTGACTGATGCTCAGCCCGGAAGAAATCGTTCTGCATGGGGTCTTCGTTCTACTATTTTTGTATGTAATGCTAAATGCAATGTCCAGATTGACTCCAGCGGCATACGTCGATGGTATCCTTGTTGTCATACCCATAATGTGTGGTGCGCAGACCGGACACACTCGTAATTGTGATCAGACCCAAAGGCAGATATAGAAAGCTCAGTCAACCGTCAAATAAAATTTCCTTCAGTCTGCGGGATGCTATTTTGCGTCGAATCGGTTTGCAGTAGCTGGATTATCTCACGAAATGTCAACCAAAATTCAAAAACGTGTTTCCGATTGGAATGAATTACTAGTGTGGTTGTAATATTGATTATCGTGCAGCTTAATCCCGAAATATTTCAGTCCCGTCAGGGTGTCAAGTTCTGAATGAACTTCTTTCCGACAGGCTGTAGAAACCACAGGCAGCAAAAATTGACTGCTTAATTAGCATGAATTTCTCGCATTGACTTTCGGTGTTCTTATGAATTCAGCTATATTTTATGGAAACCACGTATAAAGGTATTCCTCAACGTACTCATTTAGCCGAAAATTGCCTCTTATTCATATGTTATACATAAAGAAAGGGTTTCTTCCAGCTTCTTTTAAAAGTGTTCTGACTATGTTATTTTTAAAATTGTGAGGTGTCCGTTCATACTGTGTCGTTTCTGTACGTCCACCAAATATACAATATGGTCCTCATGAAATGTAACATTCCACGAACCCTATATGATTTCTTCTTTACAACGTTGATAAGTATATGACTTTCCAAAAGAGGAAACTATACAGCAGAATAAGAATTATTCGGTAGTTGAAGATGTTTTTTAACCGCAAACATACCCTTTCTTCATGTATGAAATTTAAAAAGATAATATTCTACCAAATAAGTGCAGAAGAATATTTTTGTGCATTTTTTCGACTGACTATATTAGAATTCGTAAAGGTTTCGAAAATCAATGCAAATAAACAAGTATAGTTTTTGCAGATGGTTGAAAAAGGGTTTATTCGAAAGCCGGGATCCTGGCGTGATTGAAATATACTAGAATTGTGCTGCATCATAACAAATATAACACGTTTATGTAAGTAACCCTTTCTAATCGAAAAGCCATCTCTGAATTTCTGTCAACATTGAGCGAGGTAGGCCAGCTAGTCCGATTTCTCGAATCGTCCTGATAGGATACAGTAAGAGTGTGAAACAGAATTGTTGCCGTGATCAACGGACACCGAGGTGGCACAAATCACGGTAAAAAGGGAGTTGGATCTAGTCCTACAGCCGGCATTAGCGACGTACTCATCAGATAAAATACGCTATATAATGAGCGCCGTGCACAGGACTCTCAGGTATCTAGAGATGGGTGACCGAGATCGCTACTCGCAAGACCAGACCCAAAATAAACCTCTCACAGTGACACCCTCTTCCTCTTCCGATACTCCTAAATCTCGTCATGGCTCATCAGTCTGGAATATCTTCACAAGCGCCAGAACTCTCATTACTAAGGTCCAGCCATACGTGGATTTCGAGCCCTCGTGCTTACAAAATCTTCATTAATGCGGCAAACTATCCGTTTCCGTGAAATGCGTTGGTGTTTGTTCGAATCACTTAGACCTCGCATTCTTGCAACAGGACCAAATGTTGTTCCTTCAAGCATTGGTGTGTGCATCCCACTTACGTGAGGGACCAGGCGCAAAACTGGTTCTTTCCTCGGTTCTTGCCTGTGTCGTTTTCTGAACTTAAACTCTTTTATATAGCACAGATTGCGGCATGTAGGGTTGCTAGACGAAGAAGAAGAAGAAGGAGGAGGAGGAGAAGAAGAAGAAGAAGAAGAAGAAGAAGAAGAAGAAAGAAGAAGAAGGAAGAAGAAGAAGAAGAAGAAGGCGTGCGGGGGAGAGGTTTATCTGAATTTTGACTTTTTGAGGGCTGATTTCGCCTACCCATCTTCCGCTTTCGTGAACGCTTCTTTTTTGACGTACCGCCCGGGAACTGAATTTTCACAGCCACTGACATTGCAGTGTGTTTGAAGGATATACGTCATTTGCTTGCGAGACGCTGTTTTTGTTTCCGACTCTTTGATAGGAAGTTGAAGCGCTTCGAGTAGACTGGGGACTAGTGGCGTTTAATGATGAGGTTTTGTCACGAAAAATCGAGTCAAATCTACATTGTGCCCCTAGTAGTACCAACGAGAAGTCCGTAAACAATGAAAAAATATAACGGAGTCATCTCGACTCTGTCGGAAATGTTTTGAAGCCCCGTATATGGGCATGGCGAGGAAGGCTTAAAAACATCTCAGAATTTTCTTACCACTTGAGGAGCGGAACAAACAAGGGAAATTGATGATTCGGTCCTTTTTATTCCAACGTTCTGAAGTGCCATGTTCGTCTGACTGAAGCTGGTTTCAGAAAACACCTTCTTCAACAATTGCCGGCCCTTCTGAGCTCTGTTTTTTTCGATCGTCTCCTCTCCACAACATAGTTTGCACGCCTAGCTTTCATTCAGGACAGTATTCTGAACGTCTTTGCTGAACGCTTCTTACAATCTCTTGTGCCTTTGTGCGATTTTGAACCCCTGGATTTCCACCTCCGCAGAGACCGTAGTCAGTATATCGAGCCGTGAATACCTCTTGATTACGCCAATCGTGCGGGGTATTTTAACCATAGTGTATGTGAAGTTCCCCAGTTTAACTTGAGCTTTTTGTTTAAAAAGACAGCAGAGAGTTCTGCTTGCTTCAGTTCTCCAGTGTAAGACCGACTCCTCTTCCATCCTCGCAGCCATATGCACTAACTCAGGGATAAAAAGGCACAGAATAGCTTTTTGACAACCGCTTCTGTTATCTTTACTATCCACAATCGTCCACCATAGCTGCTGTCGAATAGGAATACATTCGCCCGTTCAAAAAAGTTCCTCTTCTCTAAGTCAATATGTTTTCTTCCGAAGGGTAGCTTGCCACAGATGTGTTCAACGTCCATATTTGGAAAAATTCAAGTTCCGGGGGCCATATCACGAGAATAGAAGGATTCTGCTGGTAGGGGGTTTATTTGCGGCCTACCGTTTCTGGGGGTGAATTTGGCTTCCCATCTCCAGAAGGAGTTCCTTTGCAGAGCTCGTTTTGCATGGCCAACCGAATGCGCGCGCCACTGTATCCGTCACCCAACTTTTCAATGACGGTTGTGCGAGAGGCAGCGATGCCGGTCTAAGTCCCACTAGCCTTTGTGCTTCCAAAAAGTGTTTCGATACGCGGAAGGGTGTTGAATAGCCGAAGTAAAAAGATCAATGATGCCATGCGAGTGTGACTTGAGCAGGCCTATCCTGACTGTGGGATCATAATAAGCATTCCCTCTTGGCGTTGCAGACTCGGATCCAGAGCCCATTCAGACCACCGTGTAGCAACGAGTCATCTAACATTGAGAAGATTTGCCGACAAAACAAAAGAGCACTAAAGGAGCTATTCCTGACTTCTTAGTGGTCATCAACTGATGATACTCAAATCCCAAGTGTTGGCGCACTCGGGGTTCTGACTCCACATACACTTGCTCTTGTAAGTTCACCTGTCTAATCGCTTGAGCCAGTTAACTCAAGCTCTTTCGAATAAGGTTAAGTAGTTACGGCGGCAGATCTCAAATGCTCAATGCTCCGCTGGATCCGGGTTCAAGTCTCGGGTGCGCCAGCACCTGGTGTTTGGACACACTGGGCTGATGACCGTTGCATCGTAGTTCGACATACCATTGCTCCTTTATTACTTCCGTATAACACATCGATTCGTATTAACCGTTTCGTTTTTGGGCGCGACCTCCCCTAAGATTACGACTTGTCAGTACTTATGCACGGACACCAGTTACCAATCCATGTCAAAAATATAAAAAAGTAGGCTTTAACTCCCGCGATGTCTTAAAATCATAAATTTCCGTTGCAGGTTGGATGACGATGAGCCCAACTCAATGGTTCCGAAAGGTCCCCTCTTTTTTCCTTTATACCAACTCTAAACGCCGGGTACTCCAAATTTATGATAGAAATCAGCTTCTACGCGTGCGGGAAAAGTAACTGCAGCTAAGACGTCTTCGTCATTATGGTTAGAAAGGCCTCATATAACTGAAGAAGTCAGGGAGTAGCAGTAGCCTTTTTTGCCTGTTTTTTGAATGGTAATTCCCAACTATGATGAGTAACCGGTTTGTCTTGCTGTGTCCCTCTTCAGCCAAACAGATTCCAATCTGGACCCCCTTCGTGAAGAACTCCGCCAGCTTGAGGAAAAGAAACTCAAATACCGACAGATGATTGCAAATCTGAAGGCCAATGTTTTTAGAAATGATGCGACTATTCAAAAAATGGTGACACAAGCTGTAGAGCGGTCTTAGCAGCATACTGTTTTTGCTGTTTCAAACATGTGACTGTTTCTATGTTTAAACTCCCATGTTGTCGCGGTGTTCTCGCTCCCTACATGGATTTCGACTTTCAACTTCCGTAAACGCTTCAGTAGGGCATATTGCTTTCGTCGTGCTTCTCGTGGCCCTGCATTGCAGATTTATAGTGAAAGACTGAAACACTTGTTAACCCGCCACATGCAGCGTCAAAAAGAACCTGTCTGCGGAATTTGCACCAAATGTTATAACCTCGAGTTATCTCAGTTACTTTTGTCCTTATTACGGCCCGTACAATGGTACGTCTTGTTCTGGCTATCTCACTTGGGTATCTTTAATACCTATACAAAAATACTTACTTGGTCATCCTATCAGCGTGTCGGATGGGTGTCGAAATTTACGGACACAGCAGCATCGAAAACCATTCTGTCCCCAAACACTGCAATCTGAGACCTAGTGTGGTCCTCCAGTTTGATCGATGACTTTTTGACCAATCAGAACGGAGTTGACGTAATTCACTTAAAACATCATATTTCCGACCAAACATGAGAAGCCTTGTCTCAAGACTTCACGTGCACAGATTAATTTCTGCTGTGACTAAGAGAGGATTCTCGAACTGTTCATACTTTTCTGGACGCCTTTAAGCACCAACACTTTCGTTGCGCAACCCTGTCGTGATTATGGTACAGCTTTGAACCTTTGGCCGTGTAATTTAGCTACTGATACACGTTTGTGTCACAACTCACAGAGAACAAAGGAAACAGACAACTGTCCAGTCCACCCCAGATTTAGTTTATGGTCGAATTTGTAAAGCTTTTCGGTCGGTCAACTGTATCACAACTGCTCTTTTCTATTTCCGTTGAAGAAAATATGCTGCTGAATAAGAGCCTTTGATCCTAAAACGGGCCACTCGGTAGATGTGCTGGACCAGCACAGGAACTAGATCGAGGTTTGGCCGGCAATATCGGGAATGAGAACCCATAAAAATGCCAACATTGGGGATGTGGCGGCAGGCCTGGTTGCAGGGTTGCGTCGCGCCAACTGGGATCTGAGTCGTCCGCCCTTTTTTCTTGTTGTATAAAACCCTGGTTAGTGTACCTTGTGGACCAGGGCGTGGGTTATTATGCCTAAGTGCGTGTTTTCGTTGCCGCAACCATCCGCGTCCTCTCTCACCTCCGGTCTTCTTGACTCTGTCTTGACAACGGATCCAGATGGGGAAGGAGCATGAAGTGCGTAAGATGCGACACTGGTTTATTAGCGCTATAAAAGAAATCACGCGCAAGTCGTTGTCCTTGCTCTCACCTTGCTGTGAAGCACACGGTGGACATCGTCAGTCATGACGGTCGAACTGTCGGGTAGAAACCGACGTTATCCCCAACAAACTCGTTCCAGTCAATCCCGGAAAACAATATTCTGAGATGAAATGATGTCGGTCAAGACACCCCTGGTTCGACGAGTGAAACGCCCTAACTGGCACGGGGCAGTACAGTTTACTTTTTAGCTTATCTATCTTTACAGTTCAGGGAGTTTACTAAAGAGGGGCTGTGGTCGGATTTCAACCTTATTACTCCTGCAAGGTGCGGAGCTCTATTGAGGGGGGTTAATTAAATGATTCCGAAAAGACTACTGAAATTATGCGCTGGTTGCCCACGCAACTTAATGGAGCTGCGTAGTCAATTATAATCACGCCAAGAATCAACAAAGATGGTGTGAACCAGAAAGCAATTATCGCATCAAATGCGACAAAATGCACCAAATGCTGGCGTCGAATAAGTGTTACATTCTCTGTGTCTCCGTTACTCTTCCCTGTGACTGTCTCTGATGCCGTCCCAAGTAAGGGTCCGATCCGTCAGGGGAATAAACCTCTTGTTCCAACGGTCGTATTTTCTTTCTTCAGAACTCCCTTCTGCAACCCGCATCTTCGCTTTCATTGGCAAGCTGGAAATCATACTCATCACCGAGCTCCACGCGTGTCTAATTACTCTGTTCGGAATAAATCGCAAAATAGAGTGTGAAGAGACTGCGGTTAGCAAAACCATGGTTCAGTTAACCCACGGCTCACGCGGTTGTCATCTCTCGCGACGAGAATTTCGGCCCCATCGAATATGGACATGCAGCCGGGTTCCCTCAAACAAGCAGCAACCTGGGAGTTGGCGCCATTCTTTCCGACTGCTGCTGCGCGATTGGTCATCCGCGTCCGGCGTAGTTTTTTTTTTGTTCTTCCGATGCAGTGTCTCTGTCCACAGATGCAACAGATCCGAAAAACGACTCCAAATGTCTCCTGCCGTGGTAGTGGATATTTTAGCCCCATGACCTGGCGCCTGATGGTTGCCTCCGGTCAGTGTGCAACTCCAGTTCCAAGTGGACTTAGATTTAGTTTCCCGTCTTGTTCGCGCACGCACCTGTTGACAAAGTTGGGGGGGCAGCCATTCGCCCCACTTCGTGAGCTATCCAGAGTGTTCGACGAAACCCTCTTATTTGGCTAGCCTATCCTCGGTACAGGTGCAAAAATGAAACGATGAAAAGTCTCACTTCAACTCTGGGCTTTATAAGGATGTGAATTTTCTTTGCACTGTGTAAAAGTAAAGCGTTTTTTAAGTTATCCATCACTAGTCTTCATTTCGGAACTACCAGGGTCTACAATTTCACCAGAATGATAGTGTAGGAGCATTTAAAAGTGTTTTATAGTGTTATTTACGGATTGTGCATCGCGCTTTCATCACTTATAACTAAACTTTGTTTGGTATGTTGTTCGAGTGTTTCGGAGCTCCATCCTTAGTATCGGATTCAAACGTGGGAGTCGTTTCCAGAAAACTGGGAGGGGGTCAGCATTCTTCTCCAAAACGGTTGGCAGAAATGTATACAAACCTCACGAAAAACGACGTTATTCTTCATATTCTGTTTTTGTCTAGACATCCAGTTCAATCAAACAGCAGTAGACTCGGAAGGCGACGATAGACCCGAAGACTCGCACGAAATGCCTTGCAACTCTGATCCAAAAATCGTTCGGGAATCTGCCCGGGCTAAGCTCCACTTTCTTCATGCAAATGCTCAGTTTGTTACAGAAGCTAAATGGGCTGAATTTGTGGATGTCAGATACGCAGCCAAATGTAATTTCTATCACAGAGACTTGGTTCCAGATCGAAGTCTAGGATGCCGAAATTACACTTAATGGATACCAACTATTTCGCCGGGAGAGACTGCATAAAAAGGAGGTGACGAGAGGTCTACGTCAAGAGAGGAATCATCGCGTCAGTACACAAAACTGATTGCTTTCGCGATTGTGAAGCACTGTGGTTAAAACTAAGGATGCGTGATGCACCTAGTCTGAATTTCCCGACTGAATACCGGTCGTCCAATCAAACTCTTGAAGATGAAGAGGCTCTATGTGGATTAATTAAAGAGGTGTCACAAACCCAAGATGTACTGATAGCCGGAGACTTCAACGCACACATGGTCGACTGGAACAATTTATTAGTAAATGTTTCGCGAAATTCCTTTGATTTCAGGCTCTTAAAGCTAACAGCTAATCCCTTTACGGTGCAAAACGTCATGTTCCCAACTAGGATCAGAGAGGACCAAAGGGCAAATTGCCTGGACCTCGTCCTTACAAAAGACCAAATTGGCCCTGGCGAACTTAGGTCCATAACACCGCTCGGTAAGTGTGACCGAATCATGCTGTTTTGGGAATACCGCCTATGCGGCCAACAAGTGAATACGACTGAGTCTCGGCTGAATCTCTGACGAGGAGATTTTGCCGTCATGAGGAGGGAATTATCGGCAGTGGACTATAATGTTCTTTCCGGACATCCAAACGTTGATTGGAACACTCAAAGAACACCATGCATCGAAACTGTCCGACAAAGATAGGTTAAAGAACAAGGAGACCGTCTTAGTATTGAAAGGAGAAAACAATGAGAATATCATCGAAAACGACTTGGCCGGTTTTTTGTATCTGTTTTCACCGATGAAACGGACTTTGACGAGGCTGGGCTGTCTACTGGAGCAACCGGCGAAATAATAAAAAAAGCATCGACTTCACAAAAGGAGATGTGAAGAAGGAACTTCTAGAGCTTAAAGACGGCAAGTCTCCGGGTCCAGAGCAAATACCGACAAAAGTTCTGAGGGAGCTGGCTTGCGAACTCGCCAAATCGTTTTTGCATATCGTCAGGTCGTTCTGTGACCGAGGCATTCTCGCCTCTGATTGGAAAGTAGCAAAAATATACCACATTCACAAGGGCAGATCTAGAACATGTGCAAACAATTATCGACCGGTGAGCCTAACGTGCATTTATTGCAAAGTCATAGAGAGACTAGTCGAAAAAGTCATAATGAAGTTCCTTGAAGAAAAAAATTCATTGCTAGTTCCCAACATGGCTTTCGACGAAATCACTCCTACCTAACTAATATGCTCTAGTAAACGGAACAGTGGTCCCGCTCGTTAGACGAAGGAATAAGGGTAGATATCGTGTACATCGATTTCAAGAAAGCCTTTGATAGTGTCCCACACCACCGGTAACTTCACAAGGTCCGAGAGTCTGGAATAAAGAAAAACCTATTAAACTGGCTAAAGGACTTTCTGACTGGTCGATCACAGTCTCTGTGTATTAGTAGTGCGAAGTCAACGCCAGTACCAGTTGTGAGTGGAGTTCCCCAGGGCTCTGTACTCGAACCAGTACTGCTTTTGATTTATGTCAACGACTGTACGAATGGTCTGGACTGCAATGGAGTCATGTTCGCCGATGACATCAACTTATGGTGGGCGATCAATGGAGAAAGTGATGAACGGGCCCTGCAAGAAGGACTGAACCATCGATGCGAATGGTCTGACAAATGGCTGCCGAAGTTTAACTTTGAAGTGCATCACGTTACGACTCAAAACGAATGGAATAGTCGATGGAGCGGATCACCATTAACTGCTTGGTGGAAGGGGCCTTTCAAATGTGACCGAGAAAAAAGATCTTGGGATCAACATTTTGTCTACTCTTAAACCTTCC